TGATGCAAGGTATACCTCTTACAGACTAACGAAACAGGATTCTGCCATAGGGATAGTAAAACAGGGTGATGAATTTCTAGTACGCCATAGAATGGTTGAATGAGTGGTCGGTCTAGTACTGCTGTATCCGGTTGTCTATCTACTATTTAAACAATGAAGCTCTTGGAAACCTAAAGCTCCGAGAAAAGAAACTCCTCAAGGCCCTCCACCACCAAACCATCCAACATATCACTTGAACAGGGGATCGTTGACCTCACACACCGTGCCATCGGCGGGCAGAGTTCCGAGGTTGAAGTACCCCGACATGATCTTGGCGGTGCAGTTAGACATCTGGGAAAGCGTGGCGTGCTGTAACCATCAGTGTTAGCCATCATCCTTCATCAGGTAGGGTTATAGTGTTCGCGCAAGAAAACGTACCCCGAAGCCACGCTGCTCAACCACGACACTTCCCTCAAACCCGGCACTCATATTCTTCGCACTCGCCAGCGGCGTGGCCGGGTCGTAGGTGTTACCGAACCACAAGACGGGGTTCTTGGTCTTGATGCCCTCCCAGGGGCCACCGTAACGCTCCTTGGCCGCCCACGGCCAGTTGGCGCACTGGGCGGCGATGCTAGCGAGCAGGGGCGCAAAGATCTCGCTCGTCTGCAGCATGTGCTCGACGTCGGGCTTGATACCTTCGATGGAGTCGACGCGCAGGAAGGTGTCGGAGCACTTGATACCCATCATGGAGTCGTTGTCGACCGACACCCCGCCGAGAAGGCCGTCGTAGTAGGCCGCCACCTCGGTCAGGTTCGTGCCGGTGACCAGGTTGGTAAGGTGCGTTGCCGCGGTGGCGATGCCGCCGGTGTACTTGATCACGATGAAGAGGAGCTCCCTGACCAGGCGCGAGTTGATGATGGTGGTGCCTACCGCAACGGGGTTTTTGCCGTACTTGTCGGCCACGCCGCGGAGGATGGTTTCCAGTTCGGCGGCGTCAGAGGTGAGCGAGGCGAGGGCGCATTTCTCTGGGCCGGCTTCGACGCAGGCGGCCAGGATGGCCCGGAAACCGGAATCGGCCGTCAGGAACTGGTCGATGTCGATGCCGAGGTGGTGATAGTAGTTGTGGGCGTTCACAACGCCGTCGAGAACTAGGCGGTCCATGCGGTCGGGGAACATGGCCGCGACGGTGGCTCCTAGAAGGGAGCCGTACGACATGCCTGGGCGATCCGAGTTAGTCAAAATGTCAGGGGGCGTACAAGCACTAGTTGAACTCACCCCAGAACCTCAACAAGCCATCTTCGTCAAGCGCATCGACGACGCTCATCAAGTCCCTAGCCACAAACGCAGTGCCGATGAACTCGGGGCTGTGGTCCCCTTCGTATTTTGCGCGGCAGATGTTGCTCGTTGCCTGGGCGCCAGCATAGGTCTCGGCCAGAGCCGTCTCATAAGCGTCAACCGGCAGGTAGGGATACTTGAGCCCGGCTATCTCCCTCTCTGTCGAGGTGTTAAAACACGAAAAAGTGAGTGTCTTCTCGGTGCCCCTGAACAGGATGTCAGTAAAACTGAGCGTGGTTAAGGCGTGAAAGGGGGGGGTTACCGAGGGTCGAACGCAATCAGATCATGCTGGCCCCCGGTCATGCTACGTCTCGGTTAGTTTACTGCTGCTATGGTATGAATCAGAGGATCCTTTGGTAGCACATACAAGTGGAACGCGTCGGCCCCGCTGTTCAGCGAGGAAACGGCCCCGTAACCCGGCCCTCCAAAGTTGAACAGGATGCTCTTCTTGACGGACGTGGTGTTGCTACGCGACGGGCTTTTGATTAAAGAGAGCTTGAGGGTTTCGGTTGATTCGGCATCAGTGTAGTCGAGAGGCACAGCAAACGTTGCGCATTCGATAGGGCCCGTCGTGGCGCTCTCAAAATCGCATGGTCCCCAGTTAATCCCGGAAGTGTTTTCACGGCTGTACAGAGGTACGGCCCAGGCGCCCGAGGCCAATGCAAGCCCGGTGAAGAGGCCGGTGAGTGTCATGGTAATGGAAATTGGCGATGCTTGGAGTTTAGTGTATTCGGACCAGTTGTTAGAAGGAGGTAGACGTGAGTGATGAGAGATGTAGAATATGGTTCCATCTTGAACGACACATGGACTTTATACAAACCATAGCTATGTGAGCTCCTGTTGACTGTTTTGTGGATCTGCTGTGTATTGCCCTAGATGGACAAATGCAGCGCTGGGCCAAGACTCAACTCCAAGCACAGCCTGGAATCCCCTGGAGCCAGCCTCAAATGACGTCCCGCCGGCAGTCTGCCCAAGCCCCATAAGAATCTTATGTCGGCCGTTGCCCAATCACAAGTGATGGCGTGGCCGGGCTGGACATGGGAGGATTTGGGGATCGACGGAGGAATTGCCCGAAAGGGGGCGTTGTGGTACCAGGTACATCACCTTGCCAAATCCGGACATAAGCAGGGACCCGCAAAGGATTATGATTGAGTGAAGATCATGAACGGCTTGGCCATTGACCGGCTATAGCTATTCGTATCTGTAGCAGATTGGCCGTAGTTCGGGAAACGGGGATCGAGAGCCATGACGAACTAAGGTTTAATTAGAGGAATTATGCCTTACCTGGACAGGCGCGTACGTGGAAACCGGGAACAGGGGACGGCCCGGATGGGCCTACCAGGAAGTGCCTTTCATTTCATCGCTGGACGGTCCAGCCTAGACCTGCTCAACGTTGTCTACCTAGATACGGGTATTAGACTACAAAACGAGGCCGCTTGCCTCGGCATATACTAAAACCACCTAACCCATTTAACGGTGTTAGGCTTGGCATCGCGTGGGTAGCAACCTGATCAGATCCGAGATCAAGCCTCACTATCGGAGTCATTCTAATTCCGAAATTGAAGGTGAAGGCCGCATGGGTGCGAATGAGACCCCTACATGTACTTTGGACAAGAAGTCCTTTATTGGATGGAGACGGCCCCTCACAAGTTACGCTTCCGGGTAGCGTCTTTGTTAGACCTCCAAGCCAGCATGGTAGACTAGCCCCCTTCGAACAAAGAAACGTCATGCTTTTGAAGTCGTTCAAGTTCCCAGGCAGGATGGCAATCAGAATCTGGCAGAACTGAGCATCTGCCTACCTTATCACAAGAGCCTCCAGCAGGTAGCTACGATGTCCTCGCACCCAGAATTCCGGTACACCCACCACGGGCTCGTTTTCTATCCGCTAGAAGTTCCCGAAATCCAGGAACGGCTCCACCTCGCGAACGACAATGAGAATGAGTCCGCCCAGTATTTGCAAGCACGACGCCAAGGCTTCGTCCTTGTCCATTGGATCCAACCACCCGGGAGCGCCTTGCCGACTTCGGGCAGTGTAGGGGTCTTCGCAAGCATCGACTGCCCGCAGGAGCTGGTCATCATCAAGAAGCTATCCCAGATCATCAGGCGAGGTCAGCTCCATAACAGGTGGCGACCGGTGCCGTCCGAGATTGAACAAAGCTCGCTGAGCCCGCTGGATGCTGCTGTCCAGCGGCAGCTGCCTCTGTATCACGAAAACATGGGCCTGACGCCGTTCCCCCAGCTGCATGCGTTCCAGATCCACAAGCGGACGCCGGGATCCCAGCCGGTCAAGCCGGAAGAGGACATCACGCTCTTCTACAAGTACTACAACGGAGGCACGCTGAAGAGCTTCATTCGGAAGTACGCCAGGGCTGGCAAGCGGGTACCAGAAGGCTTCATCTGGCACGTCATCGCCCAGCTCTGCCGCGCCGTCTCGTGGCTCCATACGGGGCACATTCCTTCACGGGACGAAAACCTCGGGCGCGAAGATCCCTCCCACCCACCTCAGCCGCCCCCTGACACATGGGAGCCCATTTGCCACCAGGACATGCACGCCGAGAACGTCCTCCTACACTTCCCGACCGACGAGGAAAAGCTGGCCGACCCGCGGTTGGAGCAGTTCGACGAGTACTTGCCACAGGTCATCATCGCCGACTTCGGCCTCTCGTTCCAGGCTAAAAACGACCTCTCGGATGAACTTGGCCTCGAGGAAAACCCCAATCTGCCGCAGCCCACGACCTGGAAGGACAAGGCGGACATTGGCGAGGCGGCCTTGCGTCTCATGGTCCCAGAGTACGGCCCAGGGGAGGGTGAGATAAACGTCTTTGACCCCGACGACGGCTCTTTTGACCCGTATTATTGTCACACGCACCCGTCGGCGCTGATGGGCGGCTACAGCGAGGAGCTAGTGAGCTGCTGGCGACAGTTCGATACGTTGATCTTGCCCCTACTGGACCTGGACCCGTATACTTGGCAGAAGGCCATGTTCATATCAGACGAACGCGACTGGAGGGGGTGGCCGCCGAACGAAATCCTGTTCGGTCCCACCCTCGCCTTGGCCGACCGCCACGTCGACGACTACATCCACAGCAGCGACAAGGAATCCGTGCTCTGGACGCAGACCTTCAACGCCTCGATGCCCTACCACAGCGTCCCGCGCGACCCGGCGCACCACCGGGGCGATTGGGTGACGGTCGACGGGCACCTCAACGGCATCATCGCAAGCACCTTCGCCCAGTTCAGCCCGGGGTGCGTCAAGATCCGGCAGGTCCACATCATGGGCAGGGGGCGCGTCGAACAGGAGCTCGACGAAGTCATTCCGGAGTCAGCGCAGCGCGGCGACGAGGACAAGGACGAGGACGAGGATGGGCAGGACACCGAAGGGCCGCCGATTCAGGCGCGTCGTGCTACGGCCCCACACCCCAAACGCCGTCGTCAAGGCCGCCAAGCTGCGCGCCCTCTGCGGCCCAAGCCGTTGCGGGCGAGGGACGCGTCGCCGCCTATCGCAGAGGAATATCTGAATCGTAAGTGGGCTACGATGGTGGACTATGAGAGAAGGTGCCGCGAGAAAGGGATTTGGTGAGCGGCGAAGCGGGAGTTGGGATGGATGGGGCGGGTGGGGGATTTCAGGGGAGGGAGTTCGGGGGCAAAAAGAGGGGCGATTGGGTGGACCAAGGAGGAAAAAGAAATGCCTACTACAGGAATCGAACCTGTGATCTTTGCATGTCGTCGATGGATACAAGTGCAACGCATTAGCCACTATGCTAAGCAGGCTGTATCTTTTTTGATCTGGGTTTCCGAGCATGGCCTTATAAGGGCAGAGAGGCTGTGTCAAATCCAACTCTGCACAGCAAGTCACCCCTGAATTAGCACACAGCTATCATCTTTCCACCTCAGACCCCAAATCCATGCTCACCATTTCTAGCCCTTGTTTCGCAATCTCGAGAGTGTATTTGTATTCCAGTTACACTTAACTTGGATTCATCTAGAACTCCACAACCCGTCTGCATCACGCTGCATCACTCCCATATCCATCACACTCCCCCCTCCACTACCCCTTCCGCCCCCACTTCACTTCCACCCAACTCCTCCAACGCCTTCCTCTTCTCCTCCCTCCCCGTATTCCCATCCTCCCACACCGACGGATACCCCATCAAATCCCTCACCCCCACCCTCACCTCCCTCCCCTCCCCATCCAGCACCACCACCTCAATCTCGGGGTTATAATCCAACAACACCTGCGCGCACCGCCCACACGGATTAACCACCCGATACACATCCCCGCGCTCCCCACGCTCCCCGCGGCGACACACCGCCATAATCGTCTCCATATCCCCCGCGCGCACCCCTTGCGCGGCCGCGGCGCCCAGCACGGAGAGTTCCGCGCAGGGACCGCCGGTGAAGTGGTAGACGTTGAGCGCGACAAAGGTTTGGCCGGTGAGGCGGGTGCGCACGGCGGCCGCGACGGTGTGGTTGTCGTCCGAGGGGGGGATGCGGGCGAGGGCGGTGGTGCAGAGGTTGAAGAGGGGGGGGTCGAGGTGGGGATGGGGGTGGGGTTGGGGTTGAGGTTGGGAGTTGGTTAGGGGGTGGGTGGGTGGCATGGTGGTGGTGTTTGGTGTCTGGTTGTGGGACGGTTGGTTGTTGGAATGGTACTGAAGATGGATAATACTGGTGTTTGCGGGGTTCTGGAACTTGGCAGCTAATGTTGTTGGAGCCTGGTCTTATATCTCCTTTTATGGCGGTTTGTATGTAGTATGGACGTACATGTACGTGCATATGGGACCCGGATCATCCATGGGTCGATAATTCCCGGATCTTTTCCTGAGTAGGTAGTCCGAGTGACTCAGGCCGGGATTATCCCCTCACCGAGCCCAAAAAGATATGGGCTTAGGTGGGCTGTAATTACATCTAGGAAATGGGTCAGGTGGGTAGACTTGAACCCAACAATTTCTTCAGGTGATCCAACCCAAAAATCCTTTCATGGCAGATAATAGGGTATAGTACATTATTAGTTAAAAAAACGCCAATGTCCGAAACGCCCCTCTCACAGTATCGGCTCCTCAGGTTTAAGCAGGACAGACGAACAGCCAGCCCCAGAGTCCCTCGCCTTACCCGTGTACTTTCTCTCTAATAATCCATGTTCTATGCTCTATTACATGATGCCAGCTCATCAAGCCTTCTGCACATTCTTCATCCCCTCCAACTTAGTCTTCTTCTCCATCCGCGCGGCTCTCCACTCCTGCCCCCAATACCAGTTCACCGCGGCAGACGGCGACACGGCTACCACGATGAGGGCCAGACCCAGGAACGCCGGCGCCGGACCAACATCAGCTACCATGGTTTCAACAAAGGCAACGCCAACAGCGCCCATACCGCACCGCACCAAGTTATTGACAGCAGTGCTGCTGGCGCCTTTGCCGGGGCACAGGTCCGATACAAGCGTCTGGTTCAGCGCGAAGACGGCATTGCTCGTCGCTGCAATCAGGAACTGCAATACCAAGGGAACCGCTATCCAGCCGGGCTTGGACGTAAAGGTGGCATCCGCAAGGGAGAACCCGTACGCGGCCGTAGAAGTCACGAACAGGCCCGCGATCCAGGGGAGGTGGCGCAGGCGCGCGTACTCGATCGGGAAATCCGCTGGGACGTTCCTGGCTGGGAGCTTGTGCGTCGGCGGCAGGTTGTTTGCCATTTTGTAGGCGGCCTCGGCAGCTTTGTAATCGCGTGTCATGAGCTTGCCGGCAATGGTAGAGCCGATGATGGTACCGAGACCTGGAGTGAAGGCATCCATTCTTATTAGCGAAACAGGTTTGGGTCGGAAGCGTTCTGGTGGGATGCCTAGGTACGTACCATTGGGCAGGAACGCCAGACCAAGGAGAAGCTCGCTCAGACCAAAGCGTGACTTGAAGAGTCCCGTGGTGCTGGATGTCACCATACTCCAAATGGCGTACACCACGCCGCCGAACAACAGGTTGAAGAGGATATCCATCTCCGTCAGAAGCCTCAACGGCTCGATGAAGGTCATCAGCGTCACCTTTTTGCGCTGGGGTGTATCGCTCGGGTCCTGAATGTAAGGAGGCTCCTTGGTGAATCGTGCGATGAGCGGCTGATGGATGCCGGTGACCCGCAGGGAGCCGTTGCCGGCAATGCTGCGCAGTGTCTCGGGCAGAAAGACGATGATAAGGATGATGACCAAAGAGGAAAGGATGACAAGGAAGACAAAGATCGACCGGAAGCCGAAGGAGTTGGCCAAGAGACCGCCTAGGACGGGTCCGATGGCGATACTAAAGTTGCGAACTATCGGCCGGCTGATTAGGAATACTAGCCCAATGAATGTGATGGTCTATGGTCGCCCTGCACTTACTGGCTTGGTAGAAGCTGATGAAAGCACCCCTTTCCGCTGGAGGTGAAATATCCTGAATGACACCGTTGCCTTTCCATATCTTAGATTAGATGCTGTAACCTAGAAGCCAAGCAGGGCGGTGAAGCACTTACCGATGCTCACAGTGGAAGCACTCCCTGCTGCTTGTAGGCCTCTGAAGATGAGTAGGACGGCGAAGTTGGGCGAAAAGCTGAGGGCAATGTTTGAAGCAATATAGACCACAAACGAAGCAATGTATATCGGCCGCCGCCCCACGGTATCCGACAATGAACCCCAAAACAATGGCGACACGCCTTGAATAATTAGGTAAGACGTGATAGTCAGCGAAACTGTGCCGATGCTGACATTGAGATCCTGTCCTTTTGTTAGCCACGATCCCATCTGGAGGAATGCACTTGTTCGGCGTGCCCTTGCAATGGCGTCTAGCGATGGGAAGTAGATGTTCGACGACAGGCCCGAGAACAGACCTGCAACACCGATAATGCCAATGAGCAGCCTTTTCCGGCCCTTTGAGAAGACGTGGTACGCCTCTTCCGGTTTAGGGCCTGGAGTTGTCGGCCTTTGCCCAACGGCCGCCGGGAGCACCGCATTGTCATCGTCAAAGGGGTTTTGTGGCTCATGCGCCGGAGACCCCACTCTATAAACATCATCGAACGGATTTGGCGGCATTTGCTGTTGCTCTCCCTTCAAGCCGTTGTTGGGTGGCTGACAATATCCGCCCTGCGGGAACTGGCTCGCCCTTGACTGCCGGGTTGGGACCGGTACGTCATCGTGATAGCGCTCTGGATGGTAATACGGATCGACAGAGATGAGCGCAACGCCGGCAGCGGCCGCGACGTACAAACTGTTTCTGACGCTGGTCAAGTCGATGGCGGTTAGGCGACGGGAGGCACGAACAGCGACGGCCGCTATTAGAGACTCGCGACGGTCCTGTGGTTCCATGCTGACTATCTGAATGCACCTGATTTCGACGCTCTGCCCCAGGCAGGGTCAAAGGCATCGTGAGGATGCGATTCGGTATCTATAGGGGATCTGGTAGCAAAGCAAACTGACAGGATCCAACTCATCCGTGTCTGCGCCCCCATGAGTGGATTGTCACAGCACCCAGCCGGAAGAACCCGCCTCTAGTCACCCTTTTTGTGGCTTGATCGGCGAGGGGAGTGCAAAGTTTTGTAGCAGGGTGAAACTAGCGCACTAAGGCTGTGAAACAACATATGGCTCTGAACTCCTTCGACGGCGGCAAAACAAAGCGGGCCCTACCTTGCCACCCCCTGAACATCCACCACGTTGTCGCGGGATATGTCTGTGGACTGGTCTAGATGCTCGATGAGCGGCTGCGGACCTGCGACGCGTCATACCGACACTTGAGGGCTAGGGAAGCTAGCTTGGGATCGACCGGGAGAGTCCGGGACCAATCGTTTCGAACTATGCCTGTCCTATTACTTTCTGGGTGTCAAAAGAGTGTTTATTTTGTTACATCTTCTACAGGAGCCACCCCTGCCCCCGTTTCTCCGAAGCTAAGGCACTGTACTCCAACGCCGCATACCTAGGTACGCTCAACACCGGCGGGACCGGCTATTGCAGGAAGAATGGTCGGCCTTGCAAATAGCAGGCGGAAAGCGCCCCCGCCGCAGATCGATATTCTTGCTTCCCGGGACAGAGACAACGATGACGATGACGATGAGAGGAGGGAACGGGACACGCCCGCGCGGACACCTACAACACCTCCAACGCCAGCAGCCACGACGACAGTTCGGCCAAGTACATCCTCCTTTCCAATACGAAAGACAACATCAGCGCCAGTTGCAACGATCACAGTGACTGCCCCGGCGCAGGCAACGACAGTGACCATGTTTGTGACAGAGGGTGCGAGTCAAGCAACCGTAACGGTAATAGCAACGCCGGTGAGCGCGATCCCTACTGCCGAGACATCAGTGCCAGCTCCAAATCTGGCAGTCGATGCTGACATTCTGCAGATGGGCACCGCGGGGACTAGTGCTACGTCTGCTGTGGCGGCCACGGATTCTGCTCAAACTAGCGGTGCGGTGATCACAGGAGCTGGTGCTAATTTTATCGCTGGGGTGGGAGTGGCAGGTATTATTAACTTCCTTCACATGCCCGTCCGTCGCCGGAAAAGGATGTTGCTGACTTTCTCTCAAAGCTGGGCTGTCAGTTATATTGATGGCTGCAATCATCATCTTGCGCAGGAAGAGACGGAAGATGGAGCAACAGGTACGTAGTCCAGGTTAATCGCCGAGTATTGCAGACAGAGTTCCTAACACGGAGGTGCTCTTGCAGCAAAAGCAGTCAGACCTTCCTTGATGGCGCAGGTCGCGTCCAAAACAACGTCCTCTTGAGAGAATCGAGTGCATCCACGGTTCAGGGGTAATACATA